CATCTGGTGGTGCCAGAGTAAGGAAGTGCTAGCACTACCCCCCCCCCCAGACACACATACTGCTGAGGGGTGTGGCAAAGTGATACGGTAGTTCATGGAAGGAAATCCCCATGTGTGTCCAGAGCCAGATCAATTTGGGCAATAGAATGAATAAAGTAGTAATATAGATTGAGTTTCAGATTATTACCAAGGTATAAAATAAAGGAGTACCTACTGATACAAATGATTGAATAAATAAATGAGAAGGAAATTGTAAATCGTTTTTGTAGCCACTGTGCCCTCCAGGAGGGGAGTCCAACTCCCCATTCCTCAGGGGAAATTGCCCAGAGTGTCCCTACCAGAGTGTACAGCAGGAGGAGAGTGTGGAACCTGCAAATGTCACCTCAGGTCTCACCTGCAATGAAAAGCCAGGTTGAGAGCACATGCCTTGCCATGATGTGAAGAGAAGGGTACTGCCCTTGCTGCCTTCCCCCGAGAACCTCAGCCCAGATGACCATGAGACAACAGGAGACAAGTCCCAGGAGGGGCTCCTATATCATACCCAACCATTGACCTAGCCAAGGGCATCAGGCAAGGGGCCCTGAAGGACCAAGGGGACCCAAGATATGCATGCTATGTGGGGCTCCAGGGGAGAAGTGAGGGCCACATGCCTCTTGGGGGGAACCTGGGTCATCAAAGGTCATGGGAGAGCCCTGGTTGGTGTTGCTCAATGTTTAGAGCATTGGTCCATGCACTGAAGGGTTGCGGGTTTGATTCCAGGTCAGGGCACATACCTGGGTTGCAGGTTCAATCCCTGGCCCTGGTCTGGGCGTGTGCGGGAGGCAACCAATTGATGTGTCTTTCTCACATCAATGTTTCCCTCCCTCCCTCCCTCAAAAAATCAATGGAAAAAATATCCTTGGATGAGGATTAACAAAAAATAAAAATTTAAAAAAGGTCATGGGGAAACTCAGGAATCTGAGGGAAGCATGGGCTGTGGTTTTGACAACATTATCATTATTGGCGCATTGACTGTGCCATGGGGAATGGGCATGAGGGGTCACATGGGAACTCTTCCTGGTCTCTACAACTTCTCTGTAAACCAGTGTTATAAAATAAAAACCTTAATTGAATTAATTACTGCCCTATCACTCTGAGCCCCCTCTTCCCACCTTTCCCCCTGCCTGGCATGTATTTATCTGCCTGGAGACTTAAGCTGGTGACCTGTTTTTGGCTGCAGAGGGGCTATCAGAGCTGCTGGGAGGCTGCAACCAGCAGGGGCTCAGCTGGGCCAGTGGGAAGGGGGTTGCTGGCCCTTCGGGGATCTAGGCCCTGGGGGTTTGTAGGGACCATTATTCACAGGGCATCTCACCCAAAGCTTTGTATCAGAGCAAGTGTAGGTAAGGGCCACTCGGGGATCCTGGATGAAGTGTGGGGGGGAGACTTGGGTGACCCCTAAGGGTCAGGGCCTGGGAGGTGGCAGATCTTGAATGGTCAGCAATGGTGTTGTGAGGGATGACTGCTGGGCCACAAATGGGTTCCCCATGACGGCCGGCTGGTCATCCCCACCAAGAGTCTGGAGGGAAGCACCAGACTGGGGGCATTAGTGGGCATCAGGATGGAGCCTATCCTGGGGACAGCCAGCCTGCTACCCCCAGGGAGTGGCGTCTGCAGGGGTGGGCCGCTGGGCTCTCCCTGCTTCAAGTACCTCCACCCCCAGGTCTCAACAAAGGTCCTGAGGGGAGGGCAGGCAGGGCTGAGAGCCAGGGACAGCCCAGCGCCATCCTGCAGTGCAGCAGGCCATGGGCTGGCCAGCAATTTCCTTCCCATCCCTGGCCACACTTCCTCCCAGCGCCCCTTAGGGACATGCGGGTGGGATTTCCTCTGCTGAGGTGGAGCTGTGGGCAGGGCCCCAGTGCTCAGCTCACCATGTGGCAGGGAGACCCTACCCTGAGAACCTTTGGACACTGGAATGAGAAATCTCAGGCAGCGCTTTCCCCTCCCTGAGGACATGGGGACCCTGCATGCGCCTGGCACTGATAGCTCTCTTCCACAGGTGAGCACCCATGAGTATCTCAAGGTGGCTCTGCCCTGCAAGGCTGAGGCCTTAGCTGGAGCCCAGAGCCTGCCCCCACCCACCCGAGGGATCCTCACTCAGTCCTGGTACTGCATGCCCACCTCCCAACCAGACCTTAGCACTCCTCCCAGGTCTCCTCTTGTCAGCTCTGCAGTGATCCCATGGGGTTCTTTCTTTCCAGGTCCCTGCCTGGGACACTTAACTCCCATCCTGGAAGTCCCAGTTGTATTTCGCCTAGACTTTCTGGTCACCCAGGACCCAAACCTCAGGCCTGGGGACCCTCTACCACAATGGCACAGCAGCTCCTAAGCACCCCACAGCACCCCCCTGCCCAGCAGCCCACGGAAGGTTGCAGGCCCTGACAGATTGGGTCCGAGAGAGCCTGGGATCTCAGCCAAAACTCTCATCCTCAAAGGGTCTTCAGGGCTGGCCTCGTCCATGTCTGGACTCTTGATTCACGTGTGCGTACACTCACATGCATTTGCACTCCCTTCTGGGAAGTTCTCTCCACACCAGGAGGGTGAGGTGCCCCCCCACCCACTGTGCTCAGCAAGTGCAGGAAGTTCTCTCCACACCAGGAGGGTGAGGTGCCCCCCACCCACTGTGCTCAGCAAGTGCAGGAAGGTGAGAGACAACTAAGTTCTGGGAATAATTGGTACAACAAAGACTCTAGCACCGGTTCCATCCCAGGGCTGCGAAGAGCAGGTAGCTGGGCTACAAGGGACCCCAAGGGAGCAGAAACCTCACTGAAGACCCAGGGGCTCCTTTCCTGTGTAGCTGGAACTGGGAAGTGAGAGAGTTCTTCCTGAAAGGGTGGAGTAAGTCACAGCCTAGACAGCTCCAGTAGCCTGGCCTGTGCCCCCTCCAGGCCTCCCCTGGCACTGGCTGGCTCAGGGTAGGATGCAGAGCCCCCCTCCCCCATCCACCCCTGCGGTGTGTCCCACACTCTCCACTCCTCCTAACCTCCTTACCCCCACCTCTCAAACTTCCCTGGGTAAAGCCCCCAGCATGCTGCCACCTTTCTCAGTGCAGAGCATGGTTCACTTCTTTTTCTCTGCACTTCCCCACCTCTGCCATGTTTACCTGGTCCCCCCACAGCCCAGCACACCACAGGCCTCAGCAGGCACAGCCCTGCCCTGTGCAGCAGTCCTGACCACTCCTGCTCACCATCCTTGCCCTGGCAACTCAGAAAACTCACTCACCATGTTTGTGGCACACTGGGGGCCCCTCCTGGATGACATGGGTCTGTTTTACTCTCAGCTGATCCCCAAGGCCCAGACCTGAGGACCTAGGGCCCATGAAGTCTTAAGGGAAGGAAATCCCAGGTCAGCAGCAGTATGGAGGGTAGGGAGGTGTATCCATCCCAGTTTGACTGCCTACATATAAGGGTGGGACTCCCAGATTTCCCCCAGGCCTAAACAGCCTGAGGCCCCAGCCTCTGGACACACTACAGCTGTCTAACTGGCATAGACTGACCAGTCTTGCACAGTATAAGGGACCCAGATGCTGGGGGAGGTGCTGGGTGCACACCCCTTCCCTTCCTGACCAGCTGGCCTGAGCAGCCCCCACAGCTCTGCCTCCCCGACCCTCAGGTCTTGTGTTCCCAGAAGACCCTGCTGGTCAGGACCTATCCATGTGCAGTGGGCTTGAGACAGACCCCCAGAATGGAGGGATATCTTGCCAGGCCCAGCACCTGTCATCTCCTGGGGAAGGCCATTTCAGGAGAGGCTAGACCAGGACTGAAACCCTGGTAGGGGGGAAGGTGACACTGCTCAGCTCCAGGGCACCCCACATTTGGTACCCTAGACAGTACCCTACCTTTTTCAGGCCAGAAAATGCAAGTCCCTCTGAGCTCTTCCACCTGCTGGCTGGTAGGACACTGGTCTCCAAGGGCGTGCACCCAGCAGAATCCCGTGTCTGACCCAGGGCCACCTCTCACCACCAAGCACAATGCAGGGGGGAGGGCCTTCAAGGGCCCCATTGTTCCCCCTAAGGCCCAGGGTCTGAATCCCCGATTGTCCCTAGAGCTCTGAGGCCAAGAGAAGGAAGGGGCCTCCCCTAGACTGCATAGTGCGCTGGGAGGCAGCCCAGCCTTGCCATACCTGCCTTGGGGCCTGCCCAGCACCCCTTTGCCTGCTGTCCCATGTCCAGGCCCAACTCCTGCCAGGCCTCCTTTGTGCATCTGAGGGTATATATGATGCCTAGCTTTCCCTATTTCTGCCTCCTCTATGTCCACTGTCTCAGTCCCACTTTAAGAGCATGGCTTAGGCATGGACCACTATACCACAGGCCACCACAGCTGCCCTGGCCTGAGACGAGCGGCCAGGGAGGTGTGTTCTGACTCCAAGGAGCCTGCAACGTCAACAGAGGCCCTCAGGTGTCCTCCCAGAGCTGACCTCTCCCAGACTATCAGACCAGCTGGGCTCTTTGAGCTATGCATAAGGCTGAGAGAACATATGGTACATAGAGGCCTCCAGGAAACAGGGATCCAGCCCCTGCAGTGTCAGCCCCCCTCCCAAGTCAAGAGCATCTGTCCCTCACCTGGCTCAGAGACCAGGAGAGGTGGCTGGGGCAGGATGAGTCGTCCAGGGCCTTCTCCTCCCAGTTTCAAGGTACCTTGGGAAGACAATGGGAGAGTTGTGTGCTGTCAGCCTCACCCTGCCTCAGGACAGGAAGCAGCCCAGCCTTGGGGTACTCCCTAGTACTCCTTGGCAGGGCATCCCTGCTGGTCTCTGTGATGTGGAGCTGGGGCACGTGGGGAGCCTGGGGAAGTAGTGTGCAATTGGGGAGCAGCCCCACTGGCCAACAGTACCGAGTAGCAGATATGGGGTAGAACCTGCTGCTTACAGCCCTCCTGGGGCTGGCTGTTTAGGAGAGGGGGCTGCCAGGAGTGAAGGTCCAGCATGAAGGATGCAGGGCCAGGATGGCAATCCATGAACTCAAGGACACTCCAACCAGTAGCTCTTTATTAGGACGTGGGCCCAGCTCCCACAGGAGAGCAGGATTGATCAGGGGCACCCAGAAAGAGGCAGGCAGAGGCAACATTGCCAGGGTCACCCTGGCCACCAGGATGGGTACAGGATCCTGTACAGGGGGGACATAGCCATTGGCATCCTCAGGAGCAGCCTGTCCCTTGGGCCTTCTTCATTTCCTGCAGGAGAAAGAGGGGCTTGCCTTGGATCCCAAGTCCCCTATCCCAGACCCTTTCCGGCACAGACAGATTTATCATTGCCCCCTGGCAGAGCCCACCTCCGAGAGTGCCTCCTTCAGGATCCCGTAGGCCTTGTCCAGGTTATCATTGACGATGATCAGGTCAAACAGGCCTGG